ATGTTTTAGGGTTTCACCCAACCCTTTTTCCTCTCATGTTTTTTTAATCTCTGTGTTGACTGTAACTATCCTCCAGCCAGCAGTGATATAGTGGGTTCCGTGTCTCTCTTCTCTGTTTCTCCTGTCTCTTGAGCATCCTTCTTCACCACCCTCCACATTGCCAGTGAGGAGCCTTCATTGATTGTTTAACTATATCTCTCCAGTGTTGTCCTTTCTGTAAGTACAGGTACAAAGGGTCATATTTTGAAGGTTCAAAGATTAGGTTCTAATCTTCCAACTTAGACTGCTTATGTTCATTCAATCAAGTTCCTTAAATAATAATAATAATAATTAATAAGCTAAATAATAGAATTCTTGTTTTGTTTTCCATGATTTTCCAGCTGAGGAGATAGGTCATTGGGAAGCCTTGGTTCCAGTGGGAACACAAAGACCTGTGTTTGATGCTCAGCATGAACATAAAAAAAACAAAGCAAAACAAAAAAACAACCATAAAAAGCAACAACAACAACAACAAAAAACCCTCAGTGCAGAAGCAACAGGTCTGTGACCCCATCACTATGGGGAAATGACAGCAGTGAGCCTGGAACTCACTGGCAAGGCGGTATAGTCACTCCATGAACTGCAGGCTCACTGAGAGATCTGCTCTCAGTCAGCGCTGTGACATAGAGGAGGACATCCACTGTTTACCTCTGACCTCCAAGTGTGAGCGCGCGCGCACACACACACACACACACACACACACACACACACTTCAACAAACTTGCAGAACTCTGACAAGATGATCAAAGCCTAGTCTGTCACATCCCACATCTTTCCCGTTTCCTGACTTTCTATCCTTTCTTTAATTTTTCTTCTGGTTGGTTCTTCTCAATTTCTGACAGTGCACACTGTCACCTAACCTACCAGCATATCCCTTCCATATGTGGTGTAGTCCAGTAGCTGTGCCCTGAGTGAATTCCTTGCCTTTCTTTTTTTCTGGCTCATTCTTAGGGATCTTCTCAGCTGTAGAGGCTACAGACCCTTCCCTTAATGGCTGGCATTGTCTTCAGAGCCCACCCTTTATGTTCATACAGCAGCATTTGTAACCTTATTTCCTATCTCAAGTAGACTTTCATAATTTTAAATTCTCTTTAAGTGTGCACCACCCCATTAACTGATTATCATCAGTCCCCGTCTTTCATAATTACAGCCATTCTAAAGCCTAATGATACACTGAGGTCCATACCACTGCTAATTATCACTAACCTGAAAGCCAACCTGAGTTCCATTTTCTTCAGTAGAACCATTGTGAGAATTGGGAGGGTTTCTAAAGTCTTTTCTTTCATCTTGCTGGCTTATTTCTCCTTAGTTTCATGTCTGCTATCATTTAAAGAATTTGTAGCATGCTGGGTACCATTTTCTAAACTAATGCTGTTTCTCTGTCTGTTGTTCTGATGATAGAGCTCTTCTCTCCCCACGTCTCTGTCTCCATCTGCCTCTGTCTCTGTCTCTATTGACCTCATCATACCTCTGTGTATGTGCAAATGCAAGTTCCCATGTCTGCCCGGGAAAGCCAGAAGCTGATGTTGAGTGCTTTCCCATCCCACTCTTCCAGCTTAAGAAGTTTATCTCCAATGGAAGAGCTAAAGGAAGGACTATATGTGCTGAAGGGGATTGCAATCCCATAGGAAGAACAATATCACCACTCCTAGCTCCTAGGGACAAAATTACCTACCAGAGTATTCAGAGAGGGATCCATGGCTCCAGATACATAGGTAGCAGAGGATTGCCTTTATCGGGCATCGATGGGAGAGGAGGCCCTTGATCCTGTAGAGCCTTGATGCCCCAGTGTAGGGGGATGCTAGAGCAAGTAAGGCAGGAGTGGGTGAGTGGGTGGAGGAGCACACTCATAGAAGCAAAGGAGATGGGGGAGTAGAAGAATGGGATTGGGATCTGTGGAGGGGAAACCAGGAAGGATGTATCATTTGAAATGTAAATGAATAAAATGATTAACAAACAAAAACAGTTTATCTCCAGGTTTGGAGATAGTATCTTTAAATTAATGTGGAGTTTAGCGTTTTGGGTCGACTGACTGACCAATAAAGTCCTCTCCCCATCTGTCTAACTGCTATCCTGTATCCATCCTGGATGTGTGCCCCTCATGCCTGGACTTTACCTGTGTGCTGTGGATCCAAGCTCAGACCTTCATGCTTGCATTGTAAGCTCTCTATCAACCGAGTTGTCACCTCAGCCCATGTTATAAAACTCTTAGTCACTGAGATTGCTAATTTTTCATATAGTCATTTCCCTAGGAAAAACTATGCATTATAGTAACTAATGAACATACAAATAAGCTTCATATGCCATATAGAGTCTACTGGGGCAGAATACAGTTTACACTGATTATTTTAAAAGGCAAAGCCTTATACTTTTCCTAAACAGTTCCTGCCTTTGTTGTTGTTGTTGTATGTTTGTTTGTTTGGAAATGTGGTTTACTAGTCCAGTTGGGCCTCAAACTAAAAATATAGCCAAGAAGGAAATTGAACCGTTGGTAACACTGCTGCTGCAAGTGTTAGGCACAGACATCTCTTACTGTACCCAAATCTAGAGTCTGTGATTCCTTCAGCTCCCTCTTCTCATATCTTTCCTTGTAGCTGTTTCTTCAGTTTTCTCAGAGTTTCTACTCATGTTTGTGGGATAGTGTAGTATGTTCAGCACTTTGCCCTCAGCAGCACAACTGTTGAGTTGCTGAGGAAGTCCACAGGCCTCAGATACTTGTCAGGAAGAGACAAGTGTTTATATAGTGCTGTTTAGGTTTATAGAAGGGAACTTAATTTGATGGGAAAAGTTACAGAGAGTGGAGATTTGAAAGAAGCCCTAGCACTGAGGAGTGTGGTTTATTTGGAGCCCCGTATCTGTGGCAAGCATTTGCTGGGCAGAAGGAAACACAGTGTGGTTGTGGAGCTAACAGCAGGCATACGAAGGTGTGAGCAGGCTGTGTGGAGTGCCGGGCTGGGGGAAAGAAAAGTCTTGAGAGCAAATGAGTTCAAAGCCTTCTGACTACATCTCAGTGGATGAGGAAAGGGGCTTTCCTAAAGCTCTGCATACGAGATAACGGTTGGGTTCAGATGGCAGGTGAGTAAATATGAGGTCCATCATGGTGAAGATTCAGCAGCAGTAAGCTGCATGCCTGGTGGCAGGGGTATGCAGACCAAAGCGTACTAACAACAGCCATGGGCATATAGTCTCCAGTGACATATTCCCTCTAGCAAGATGGTGCCATGGAAACCTTTCCACACGACCCCACCAGCTGGGGACCAAGTACCAAAGCCTACATTTGTCTTTATACAGCCACAAACACAGTCCCTGTTTTTGAGGTTTAATTTTATTGCAAAAAATATAGAGTATAGCCACAGGATGTATTTAAACAATATATACATTTGAGAACTACCTCGATAAAGTGTCTTCTGAGGCCCATAACGCAGCATACACCCAGAAATATCCCTTCTCCTTCGCCAGTATTTAAACTCACAATTTTTTAAAATTTCCCTTGAAAATACATATATACACATAATATGTATATACACAGATGTATATAATCCTTTATAATTTAATAAATTCTGAGTTTATATTAAGTATTCTTTTTATAGCAAAAACATACTTTTTGCAGGGCTGGAGAGATGGTACAGTTGTTCAAAGCACTTGCTGCTCTAGCAGAGGACTTGGCCTTGGTTCTTAGCAACCACATGGCAGGTCACAACTGTCTGTCACTGTTGTCCTGGGAGGTCTACTTCCTTCTTCTGGCCACCATGAGCACCAGGCATGGACATGCACATGGTGCACATACATACATGGTTGCAGACACTCCTATATATAAAGAAAAGAAATCTTTAAAAAAAAAAACCTCACACTTTACTTTCTAAAAAGTCATAACAATATCTAACCGGATGATTTAAAACAAAATGACACCCCTTAAAAAGAGTTCTTTTTATTTGGATAGAAATGTGCATTGGTATACAGAAAACATTTATTAGACAGTCATCTTGTGCTGGTTAAAAGGAGGACTCTGGGAATATATGCTATTACCGGCAATATTCCAGGACCGCTTTAGCTGGTGTTATTGTTCCTCTGTGAAGACAGGCAATACTTTTGATTTTTCCCCCATTGCTGTAATAAACAATGACGACAAAGGGACAAAGGGCTTATTTACCTCAAAATTCCAGGTTATAGTCCATCAAGGCAGAGAAGAAAACATACAGGAACTTGAGGCAGGTAGTTGTGCAACATCCGTAGAGGAGAACAGAAAGCCGTGGATTAATGCGTGTATACCTGTCTTCAGCTCACTTTTCCTGGTCTCAGTCTTTAAAAATTCTTCTCTCATGTACAACTTTCTAAACAGTTTCCACTCCCCCTCTCCTCCTACTTGCCAGGGCTCCACACGAGATGCACTCCTTTTCCCTTTTCCTTCAGAAAGTAGCAGGCCTCCCAGGGATACCAGCCAAACATGACATATCAAATCACAATGAGTCCCATTCTTATGTAATCTAAAATCCTAGGACCAGGAATGGGTGCTGCCAACAATGGGCAGCTCTTCCCACCTCATTCATGTAATCAAGATAAACTCCCCACAGATCTGCCCCATGGACCAACTTAATCTACAGTTCGTCATTGAACATCCCTTCTTGGGTGAGTCTTGATTACATCCAGTTGACCAACTGATACTAGACATCACACATACCATTCGAGGCGTTAAAGGACATTGCCATGGTCTCTGCAAGGATCAGCATGCAGCATCTGTTACAGGCAGAGTTAAGGAAGAGAACTTTCTAAGTACAGAGTCAAAATACATTCAGAAATGGCAGCCACGAACAAGGTGGACCCTTAAGAGTATTTAAAACCAAAGTTAGGAAGGATATATCCATCCCAGGCAATATTTAAATAGCGTTAAATCTGTGCTTCTGAAGTGAGACCTTTAACTGTTTTCGGATGAAATATCAACTGTTTGTTCCACTCCTCTGCAGGCTCCCGTCTTCGTCAGGAAGATTTTCCACCGCGCATTGTTGAACACCCTTCAGACCTGATCGTCTCCAAAGGAGAACCCGCCACTCTGAACTGTAAAGCTGAAGGCCGCCCCACTCCGACTATAGAATGGTACAAAGGCGGGGAGCGAGTGGAGACGGACAAAGATGACCCTCGCTCACACCGGATGTTGCTGCCCAGTGGATCTTTATTTTTCTTACGCATAGTCCATGGACGGAAGAGTAGACCTGATGAAGGGGTCTACATCTGTGTAGCCAGGAATTACCTTGGAGAAGCTGTGAGCCACAACGCATCGCTGGAGGTAGCTAGTAAGTAACATGAGCTGTGTTTTCCAGGGGAAACTGCACGGTGGGATCATGTGTGTTGGCAGCGGCAGTCAGAAATGGTGCACGTGTTACAGACTTCGCAGGAGGATAGTCTAGTTGTGTATGGATAGAACCTCTTGTGTCGCTTTTCCTCATCCTATTTGGGTATTAGGTGTGAGTTACATTATGCAGAGATGCAGGATTGGTTTTCTGTTGAGTGTCTTCACCGAGGCCCCTGTATTCTCCTCTGTGATTGGATGAATCTCAGAAGAGAGTTTGAACTTTGGACTTTTAACATTGTTGAGACTCTATATACTATGGGGACTTTGGAAGTTGGACTAAATGTACTTTTTTATTATGCAGTGGCTAGGTATGGCCCCTATAGATTCATGTGTTTGAATAAACCTATAAGGGCCAGGGAGTGGAATGTAGTGGTTTGACTATACCTAGCCTGGGGAGTGACACTATTTGGAGATGTGGCCTTGTTGGAGTAGGTGTGCCACTGAGGGTTTGAGGTTTAAAACCCTCATCCTAGCTGCCTGAAAGCCAGTTTACTCCAGTCTGCTCCTGGCTTCCTTTGGATGATAGAATTTTCAGCTCTTCCAGTGACATGCCTGCCTGGATGCTACCATGTTCCCACCTTGATGATAATGGACTGAACCTCTGAACCTGTAAGCCAGCTCCAGTTAAATGTCCTTATAAGAGTTGCCTTGGTCATGGTGTCTGTTCACAGCAGTAAAACCATAACTAAGACACTCTCCATTGTTTGTTTTAGCTGTGTTGAATAAATACGAATTTGTTTATAAGTAAAATAGTATGCCATGCTGGACACTGATTTCTGGATGCTTCCTACCTTGTAAGACATCATAGCTTGGGGAAAAACAGGTGTGTGGTATTCTGATGCCTTTGGTTACTTCCTGCTTATTTCTACGTATATCCAGTGTGCTGCTTTTGAAATGATCTCAAGAGGGGTTTGTTGAATGAGTAAATTGCTATATTTGTACTACAGATGTTCATTGTATTTGGATATGAATCTGACTTCTCTTACTTCCTACCCCTGTTCAGAACACTCCCTTCCCTTAAAAGAGTCCTGTTATGTGTTTATCAGAAATCTATAATTAATACAAAGGGATTGGAAAGACAAGGTTCACATGAATTAATTTGAAATATATTTAATTACTTATGTATCTTTTATATGCTTAGGGTGTCTCAGAATAACTTATATTTTAGCATGAATAATGTCCTACTTCTATTTATAGAAGTTTTTGTAGTCTTTATCATTCAACTAGAACTTGAACATATAGATCCACACATACACAATTATTAAATTTAGAGGTAAATCATAATGCTAACATAGAATCAGCTCCAAAGATAGTAAATGGTTTGGAACCAACCCCCCATACTAATGTTTACGGTACTAACATTGAGATAGACTGACCAAAATAGCTGATATTAAAGGAAAATAGAAAATATAAGTAAATCATATAAAAATAACCACCTCAGACTATTTCAAAACTTTTCATTCACATTAAGATTTTCTTGTTCTTTGTTTCAGTTTGAGTCATGGTTTTGCTGGGTACTGCATGCTGCCCTTCAGCATTCAAGTGTCCTGCCTCACCCTCCTCAGAGCTGGGGTTACAGACCGTGCCACATACCCATTTCAGATTCTAGAAGTGGTCACATGAGACCTGCTTCTTCTTTAAATTAATAAACAATAAACTCTGTTGTTCTTTTCTTACTGACTTGACTCAAAACGAAGGTCTCAGAAATAAATTCATAAGAGGCCTGGAAGCTTTGATCGTAACATATTGTTTTAAGCTCAAATTTAAGCAGAATATCATAAAAACACTTAAATGTCTTCCTGTTTATAAACACGAGTACATGTTTTTGCCGGTTAACATCATTCACACCTCTGTGATTTTTATCATTTTTTCTATAGAAGACTCATTCTTTGTTGAGGTAATATTAAGGTAGGTTAAATCCAAAAATAAACGCAGGGGATCAGAAAAGCTAGAAGAGAAGATGCATGCTGTTTTCTGATTGTGTTGAAAACAACAAACCAAACAAATAAAATAAAAAGAGACCCCAAAACAAAACAAACAGCAACAACAAAAAAAAAACAAGCAAAAATAATCAAAACCAGTGGAAACCCTGAATGCCAAACCAAAGGCAGTGGTGTGTGTGCAACCAGAAATATCAAGAGCAATTGATGCTTCCCCGCTGTGTCCTCCTAGGCTCCATTTTTGTTCATTTCAGTATTTAGGAGGTAGTTAGATTTACCTGATTTGATCAATCTGTCCCCTCTAGATCTTCCTTTACAAAACACCTCCAGCTTTACCCTTGAATGTAAGGACACCCTGCATGAATTGGCTTTTAGAAAGCTTTTGTTTGTTTGTTTGGTTGGTTGGTTGGTTTTGTTTTGGTTTGGTTTTGGTTTTTGGCTGGCTTCTGTGAATGCACTTTAAAGGTAATATTAGTTTCCAGTTAAGTTTTCTATCTAAGTTAGACATGCCATCACTTTTAGAGTCTTGGTAAAGATGTTCATGGAAATCGAAGCCAAATTCAGAATTCCTTATGTTCAATTCACAGATTTTTACCCCTGGGCTCCAAATAAAAAGGAATATTATAATTTACTGAATATAGTAGAAACATCTAAAAAAATGTTGTAAGATAATACTTAGAATAAAGAGGGAAATGTATAAATATTTTGTGCTTCTCAAATTTAGTAAGGTATTAATGGCTGTCTGATATAAGTGTCCTCATTAAAGATAAGTTTTGCTACATGCAGACTACCAGTTAGACTAGCACCACTCATTTGTATAAAGGAGTTAATTTTATATCCAGCTACTTTGCTGAAGTTGTTTATCAGCAGTAGTTCTCTAATAGAATTTTTGGGGTCTCCTGTTTAAAGGAAATGCAGGATAAAAATGGAGCAGAGACTGAAAGAAAGGCTACCCAGTGGCTGGCCCAACTTGGGATCTATCCCATGTGCACACAACAAATCCTGACACTATTGCTGAGGCTGTATTGTGTGTACAGACAGGAGCCTGGCATGGCTATCCTCTGAGAGGCTCTACCAGCAACTGACTGAGACAGCCAACCATTGGATTGAGATCAGGGACTAATATGGAAGAGTTAGAAGAAGGACTGAAGGAGCTAAATGGGATTGCAACCCCATAGGAAGAACAACAGTGTCAACTAACCCGGACCTCTCAGAGCTCCCAGAGATTAAGCCAAAATACAAGGAATATACATGGGCTGGTTCGTGGCCCTGGGCACATGTGTAACAGAGGATTGCCTTGTATGGCCTCAGTGGGAGAGGATGAGCTTAATTTTGTGGAAACTTGATGCCCCTGGGGAGAGCGATGCTGGTGGGGGTGAGTTGTGGGTGGGTGGGCAGGAGGGGGAACACCTTCTTAGAGGTGGGGTTCAGGGAAGATGGGATGAAGAACTCAGGAGGGGAGGCTAGGCAGGGGGCAAATTTTTGAAAATAAATAAAATAATTTAATAAAGATTTAAAAATAAAAGATAATTTTTTGAAATCCTGAAGGAGTTCGAATAGCATTTGAGTCAAGTGGTTTTTATACTAGTTTAATTACAGTGATCAGAAGAAACATGTTTATTAGATAGTATGTTTGTTTCCGTCACCCTGCCCCAAGAAAGGCTTTTGTGTATTTGGAACGTTTAGAAGGTATTATTTAGTAAAAATCTTCTTTAGCACACTGCAAATCAACATGCAGCAATTTAAATCATACTGTTTAACTCATTTAATTTTGACAATTAATATTACTTATGTCTCATTTCCTGATTATGTTCTAAAACCTAAATCAGTCCTTTTGTATAGTAAATACATCATTGATCAACTCTCTTGATGGTAAGGGCAGATGTCAGCCATATTAGCTACAAAAAAAAAAAACTGGGAATACTGTTAAAGTTTGTTTTGTTTTTCTGGAATATTCTGTTGTTCTTTATTTTTCTACATGCTTCCTTAGATTAGGTACCATGAGTAAAATAAGAACTCTTCTTTTTTTTTTTTTTTTTTTTGGTTTTTTGAGACAGGGTTTCTCTGCATAGTCCTGGCTGTCCTGGAACTCACTCTGTAGACCAGGCTGGCCTCGAACTCAGAAATCCGCCTGCCTCTGCCTCCCAAGTGCTGGGATTAAAGGCGTGCGCCACCACCGCCCGGAATAAGAACTCTTCTTACACTCACTCCCCAAGGCTCACACAGGAAGCCAGACATTACATCTGATTTCACAGTGATGCTGTGGCCTCAGTAACAGCATTAACAGAAGTGTCTTGAGGCAGTGTGGGTCTCACAGAGAAGTTGTTGGTAATGCCTTTAAAAACATTTTATCTGTGTTTTGCTTGTGTTTCAACCAAGTCTTACAGCTGCAACAACAACTGGAGTTCCTGGTTCCTATTTGTCAGTCCCTTAACCTTAAAAAAAAATAATATAATGCATGTTAAGTCTTCATTCTATGTAGAAATAATGATATTCTTGTTTATTGCACATTGATATTTTTGTTGGAGATACTGTAACATAAAATTGCCTGGATTGGTTGGTTATTTATAGGAATTTCTTGTTTCTTTGTCATCTGTATTACAACGATAAGCAGGAGAGATGATAGTTGTAAGCCTCTGCTTGTCCTATAGTAAAAATTGCATGCCCCCTTTGTAAATAAAACTCACTTCTGATGTAATTATACTTACAGTATATAATCATAGCATCTGAACATTCTAACAAGAAATACTGAGCAGTACTTATTTCTAGAATTCGTACCGGGAAGTCTGGAAACTTTGGCTTTGCAAAAAGAAAAGAACCTTGAATATTGGATGTATTTGCCTAAATTGTTTTTCAATTATTATTTTTAAAGAGCAGAAATAAAATATAGCTGATAGATCTGAATCAGATCATATACACTTGAAGATATCATTGGTTTTATAATTTATGAAAACTCTTCTGTGTCTCAGATTCAACTCAGCTGTCAAAAATGGCCTTCTTG